TGACCTGAGTAATTCAAGTCCGGTGCAAAAACGCGTGATCGCACGGGCCCGCCCGGTGCGTTCCAGACTGGGTTGCAATTTACATATATGCAAAGACGCATAAAAAATTAGCTGTGAAAAAACTGAAGAACTCCAAACGGGCAGAATTCTGCTGGAAATTGGAAGAAATATTAAATTCAGATTTTAACTTACTGAAAAAAACAAAATTATAAGGATGATGTAAGGATATATTTTGAATTCGCAAGATATATTCGCAGACCTTGAATACACCAATAACGTGAGTTCTAGAACTTAATGCCAAAAACATCAAGGTCACCCAGAAAGTCCGTATGGTAGTGTTACGTTAATGAAAGGGTGTTCCAATTCAATGAGAGCAGCTATGTAAGAATCTTCAATCTTGAATGGTACATTACCAAGTGAGGCCTTCATATTTTTTACCGTTCGATGGCGGCATCCCGTAGTCTTCTAAAATCCTCAGCGGCTTTTCGCTCTTCGGTTGCCGATCCGCTGCTGTAGTCTAGGCTGGAGAACACGCAAAGTATTCTCGCCGTTTTTCATCTTCACACTAATGCACCTTTTAGCGTAAATTTTACGTTTTGCTTATAGCTGGGTGGTCTTTAATACTTTACCTACCATTTGTCGTGAGCGGAACCCTTTACCGAGAATTGCTATGGACCGGCAGGGAATCGAACCACTCTCATTCACATCGGATGAGGCGTACTACCCACTACATTACCACATCTTGTACTCCAGGTTCAATTAGCAATGCACCTACTGTGTATTTGCCCTTTCAAGGCAGAGTACACTTTCCTTTTTTGCCTCTCATAGACAGTTTTCACCGTCTTCTTTGTAGCAGCTTCTTTTCCGTCTTTCGCTGGTTTCCCGCCTCAGCGCTGGCCAAGCTGATGCTGGTCCACGCCACCCAAGCTTAGATGGACAAAATGCGTCAAGATGTCCTTATGATTGGAGCTGCCTCGGTTTGTACCCCGCCGATTCGGCATCTTCTAGTCCATTGCAGCTTCGATGCTAAGACGAGGTATTTGAAATCGAAATTCGCAGTAGATAGCACGGAGAGATGCTTCATTAAAATGAGCGAGGTATGGAATACGTGTCATTTTGGCATGCAGCTCTTAGGTATATTTGTAATTCTGTGCAATATGAGTGATCTTTTTTTAGTTGCTGCCTCACCACTGGAAAGCAAAAAAGGAGGATTCGAAAATGCCGCTTACCAAGGTAATCATATTAGGCAATTTTCACAAGCAACTACAGCTTCGCAGAACGGCATTAATAAAGGATCACCAAACATCCCAGAGGAGAGCCCGAAAGGAGTCGGCGAAACTACCTACCAAGAATGGTTCTCCAAGGTATTTCATACGACATTTTAGTTGCCGTGTCTGTAATTTAGTTTGATATAAAGAAGAGGTAGGAGATGCAGCACTGTTCTGAATTTGCAAGAACTACCAGAATTTTTTAAAGTCCAGAAAACGCTTATGTCTTTCGCACTCTGATTTCTTTTTAAAAGGTTAAACCGCCAAGAATTTAAAATTTTAGAAGATATTTAATTTACAGTTGAGACGGACAGTCCAGTTTCTCGGTTTAGCAGTAGCAACTTTTGATCTCGATTTAATGTCAAAAATGTCTCGAGACGCAAGAAGACCACGAGAGAAGTTTGGGCAAATAATTTGGGCAAATGACCATTTGTATGAAACATGAATTCACTTGATAACAGCTGCCTCTCAGAATCAGTCACTTTCAGGTTGCTTCGAAGCCGGGCGTGCAACTGCATGAGGAATCATCGCTTCCGTCACCTTCCGCTGCGCATGCTCCTTCTCGGCAGTCATTAACTCAGGGACCACCTTACCTTCCTTATGGCCAAGATCCCAACGGCCTGTACGGTGAAGCTAGAATTGGACCACCAGGATATTATCGACCTTACTAATGAGCAGTTATGTCCCTTTGTTCCCTGGATGGTTTGTTACACATCCGGTATTTATTGGCTTTTAGTGAGGGTTGTGTCATTATCCCATAACCTCCAAAACATGCGTCAGACAGGTCTTGTTGTATTGAAATTCGGGAACTAGGTGACACAGACTTCATTCTGTATGCGAAAATTTCAATAAGATTTGCTGACGAATATTTTTAACTCAATTTGCAATTTCATCTCGAATATAGCACGTACTGCATTTTTATGCGTTTTTGCTGTGCAACGCTATAGCAGCAGCGCTGCTACAGCCAGCAAAAACGCATATTGTCGAGAGGCTGTCTGTGTGTGT